AGCCTGAGCCAGCCCTAACTATAAGCTTTATCAAAGAGGAAAGTCTTAAGTCTAGTCTTAAATGTGGAGACGGTGTCTGCCTCCCGGACCGTAACAGGAAGATGATTCCACAGGAGAGGAGCCTGATAGCTGAAGGCTCTGGCTCCTGATCTGCTTTTGGAGACTTTAGGGACCACGAGTAACCCTGCGTTCTCAGAGCGCAGCGTTCTGGTGGGATAATATGGCACTATGAGCTCTCTAAGATATGACGGAGCTTGACCATTTAGAGCTTTATAAGTTAACAGTAGGATTTTAAATTCAATTCTGGATTTTACAGGGAGCCAGTGCAGAGAAGCTAAAACAGGAGACATTGACAAGCTTTTCAAAAAGATATGGGCTGTAGTCGAGGGAGTTGGGGCTGCGCAGAGCTTGTGATGGTTTCAATGGTTCTTGGAGGACCAGAGGCTGACCAAATAGCTGGCACCTTTAAACAGCACCTGATGGCACCACCAAAGAAACCTAATGCCATATGCAGGTTCTTTATCAGTCTGGGCAAAAGCATCTCCAAGCCCTTTACTTGAGCCTTCAGATGCCAAAGACTGAGTCCTGTTTAGGTGACAGGTCACAGGATTCATGTTGAAGGGAAAAAATGGTATGAGGCAGGGCCGTGCAGAGACCTTTGGAGGGGCAGGTGCTGAAAGTTAAAAAGGGGCAATGGAACAAGACTTTATTAAGCCTGCCAATACAAGTCCACATTTTGTCTCCTAATTAACCAGACTATTCTTGGCAGTTTTGGTAGAAACTTTAAACTCTTTTCAATCATGTAACGTTAAGCAGTCCCATTAAAAAAATATTTTCAGAGTCAAAACATTGACGGGTCGAACCCCACAGATCCTGATACTCTAACTACACTTTGAGGCTCTGCAGTTTTTGGAAGAGCAGTTTTAACCAAGACAACTTTCCCATGATCCATTTGGAACGCTGTGTGATTCACAATTATCTTGTCTGTCAGTCAGGAGAGAATAACAGGCTTTGTTCCAGGCTGCACTGAGGCAAGACAGTGTGAAATCTGGCAGGACGGGGGCAGGACCACTCTTTAGTAACAGACACACACACACACACTTGGAAGGAAACAAACGTGAACTTGCAGTGAACTTTGGGAAATGTCAGTTGAGGTCACACTGATGTAAAAACTGTTTTTCAGCTCAGTTCAACTAAAACAAACCTTTTATTTAAAAAGTGTTTGATGTGCATGTGTCACCAGACTACTGAGTAGATTTAAGGATCCCACTAAAATTATGTATTTTGGGTAAAATTAAAAGAACCATATCAGTGTTTACGTGCTTATTCAGTTGCAGTGGTGTGTGTGCCCAGGATCGTTTACTGAAGTAAAATCAGTTCAATCAGGAGAAACTCATTCTGAGAGGAAAAAAATATTTATTTACATGTGCAGATTTGTTTCATATACTTCATCTTGTCTCGCATATTTTGGTTGACTTCACATACTGTATCTTGTCTCATATATATTTAATTTGTTTCATATACTTAATCTTCTCTCATATTTATTTGATTTTTTTATGTACTTTATTTTCTGTTATATATTTGATTTGTTTCATATACTTTATCTTCTCATTTGATTTGTTTCATAGACTTTCTCTCCTCTCATATATTTGATTTGTTTCATATACTTCCTCTCCTCTCAAATATATTTAATTTGTTTCATATACTTTCTCTTCTCATATATATTTGGTTTGTCTCATATACTTTCTCTTCTCATATATATTTGATTTGTTTCATATACTTTCTCTTCTCATATATATTTGGTTTGTCTCATATACTTTCTCTTCTCTCATATATTTGATTTGTTTCATATACTTTCTCTCCTCTCGAATATATTTAATTTGTTTCATATACTTTAATTTCTCATATATATTTGATTTGTTTCATATACTTTATCTTCTCATTTGATTTGTTTCATATACTCAATCTTCTCTCATATTTATTTGATTTGTTTCATATACTTTCTCTTCTGTCATATATTTGTTTCATAGACTTTCTCTCCTCTCTCATATATTTGATTTGTTTCATATACTTTCTCTCCTCTCGAATATATTTAATTTGTTTCATATACTTTCTCTTCTCTCATATATTTGATTTGTTTCATATACTTTCTCTCCTCTCGAATATATTTAATTTGTTTCATGTACTTTATCTCCTCATATATTTCATTTGTTTCATATACTTTATCTCCATATATTTCATTTGTTTCATATACTTTATCTTCTCATATATATTTGATTTGTTTCATATACTTTCTCTCCTCTGGAATATATTTAATTTGTTTCATATATTTTAAAACTCTCTCATATATTTAATTTGTTTCATATACTTTATCTCCTCTCATATATTTAATTTGATTCATATACTTGATTAATTAAGACAAACCATAGATATATGACACCGAACATGTTAATGTCTTCAGGTGATTCCTCTGAGCTGGTACAACGTCCTGCTGCCACGCTACGCTCTGATCCTGGAGCTGGGATTGGATGGCGAGATTGTGGGAACGCTGCATGACCCTGAAGGGCGCCTAACATGGGCCATCAGCGACGTCTTCCAGCACCGAGGGAGGACCTACCTGGGCAGCACTGACCTGCCATTTCTACCTGTCCTTGAGGGATGGGAGAGCTGATGATCGACTGAACACAGGAAACTAAACGTAGGCTTATTCATTTTTATTTTTGGACAGTTTAAACGTCTGAGGACACTTGTGCCGCTTCTGGATTTTACATTTTTGAAGTTTTTAGTCGGTGTCCACCTCTGGAGCGACGTGTGGATGTTGCATAGATGAAACCACTTTTGTGGTTTCAGGTTGGTCTTTATAGCTAATCCACTAATGACCTGTGAGGTGAATGGAGCAACTGTGGTCGTCTAAACACACTTTTAGAAAGGTTAAACTTCATGTGGGAACTTTTGTCTGCTCAAACCAAATGAGGAAATTAACCAAGTGATGTTTGTCGGATAGAAACTGACAACTTTTTTAGCATTAAAGACATAAAGACCTCCAGAAACGATGAGCTCAAACCACATCATCTACTCAAAATACTGTACAACCTACTGTATCATTGCACTGGATGTCTGCAGACGAGCAGCAGCAGCAGAAGAAACACTGAAGAGTCTATTAATAATTCTGTTCTGTAAGAGACATGGAAGCTTAAACTGACTCTGAGTGATTTGTCTCTGTCAATTTGGACTAATTAAATCTCCTCCTGCGGCCTAGACCATCGAAATCGACTAATTTTCTCTTGGAGGAATTTTAAATTAACCTTGGAAATTTCAGACTGTGGGAATGTGTATTTGTATGTGTACTATTAATACCAAACTGTAAAGTTAGGTTTTAAATTAATTTTTTTCTATAAAAATGACATTTCAGTGAGACCCCTGAATCTTGATTGTGTTGCAAACGGAGCTGAAATGATTGATTTGTTGGTCCCAGCATCGCAGTGAGGATTTTCTGCTTTTCTCTGTTATATGAAATTATAAACTAAATCTCTCTGGAAAAAACAAGACATTTGAAGAGCTCACTGATGGGTATTTTAAAACAATTTTCTGACATTTAATAGACTAAATGATCTATTAGTTAATTTAGAAAACAATATCTGGTTGCAAAATACTGAAGGTGTTTTGTTTCCTAAAGTTTTTGTGTCAGAACTTAATCTTTGTGTTTAATTTGGCTCTCCACGGGAGATGTTTTGCTAATTCCTCATGTAGACAGCAAGAGTATGTACGACAACAGGTACGTACTAAACTACTGCATGTTAAATAAAAACAGGCCTTTTCTTTTAAAAGGTAATTGTAGTGATGTGTTGAAGATGTAAAGGTAAGGACATAAATATAGCTTTGAGTTTTACACGTTATTTCTTACGTTTTTTTTTTTTTAATTGAGTTGCTAAAATCTCTTAATAACTGCTAATGTATTTAGAAAAAAAATAATAATATAAATGTCACACAGTTTTTCCCAGTTCTGTTCTACCCTCGTGTCTGTTACATTACCCTCAAAGTCACGTTTTACGTTACAGAAATCATTCGGGCAAAATTGTCCTTAACTTCCTGTAATTGAAGTCTGTTCATGTCTTATTTTCTCCTTCAGTTTTGGATAATATAATAATTTGTCTTAAATTTCATTCCAGGTGGCATTAAAGGGTCTTATTAAGTCTTAAATCTTACCAGCCCTAAGCTTTATGAACCCTGAGGAATGACGTTAACATTAGATATAAATTAAGACAGTGAGCAGGACCTTCTGTGATATTTTGAGAATCTCTTTATTTGGACAATAACACAAGCCAAAAATACATAATCATCAAAAACTACTCTAAAATTAAAAATAAAACTAAGGGTTGTTTCCAAATAAAAACAGTTCTGACAGATTGGAAAGTGCATCAGTGAATTGAAACAAGAGGAAATATAATCACATGTTGATTTCAGTGTTGTCACATTAATTCAGTCCAGATGTGAATCTGAAACCACAGAGGAAGAAAGAGCTGCGTGAATGAATTATTACAACGCCACAGTAGCAGTGGAACAAAATGGAGAGTCATTGATTCACAATTAAACAGCATGTCTGTCGGCTTCGCCTGTCAGTGAGAAAATAATTCACAATCAGAATTAACACACACACACACACACACACACACACAAGTACACAGATGTCATGCAGACGTGACGAGACTTTCTAAATGCTGTGTAACACATTCCCTCAAAAGTCCCCTGATCAGGTCTTTGGTTATATGTTAGTCTGCACAGATTTGATCTTAAATTATTTAAAATTAATCTATCGTCACAAAAATAGCGGCTATAGGCAGCTTTGATTTGAAATTTAAAATATTGAAATATATCGATCATTTAGAAATCTAAAATCCCAGCAGATTTCTGCGACAGAAGGACTCAAGAAAGTGTTTAGATTTTTTTGTCTAAATGTAGTTTATGGCAAAAATAAACAAAAACGTGATCCCTTAAAGTTTGAAGGAGGTCGCTTTAAAAAACATATCAAATATAGTTGTTTTTATTTTGATTTGGCCATCTGGAGTTCTCACATTTCATTTCTCACATTCCCAAATACAAAATGTGAATTCTTGTTAGAAACAGAAATAAAACTAAACAAAAAAAAAATAAAAAAAATAAAACTCTGACTGAAACCCTGAAGATGGAAATAATAATAATTTTGGCAAGATGTATCTTCTATCTTTCTAAAATTACTGCTCCCTTCTGTCCATTAGGAAGTTAATCTCTGTAGCCAACCACTGTTTTTTGTGACCATTTAACACAGTATGAAATGTCCAACACACGATAAAATAGAAAAGACAAAGTGCTGATTAATGTGAAACTTGTGGATGAAAGGTGCTTTAACACTGCTCACAGGAGAGATGAATCACTGAAATAACGTAGGTTTGATGTGTAGGAGACACTTAAACTGTCAGTAATAATGAGGCTTTAAATCTTTAATGTGTAATTTAAACTTAAATGGAGGCTTTCTCTGATGCTGCTGACAATTGTTAAACATTTCTTGACTTTATTTACAAAAGTTGCTTTTTACTATAATGTTCCCTCATACATTTGAATGAGACCTGTTCTTGTCGCTGATTGCTGAGGATCTGATTACTTTTAATTCTATAATTCCTGTTTCTATTTGTTAAATATTAAGTTGTGTGATTCTTATGGAAGCACATTTGTGCCAAGATAATGAAAAACACAAAATCCTGTGACTCATTACAATGAAAGACTTTCTTGAATAACAACCAAGTATCTCAAAATAATAACTTAGTATTGCAAGGTAATTACTTAACATTGAAAAATAATAACTTGTCGCAAAATAATGACAAACTCTCATTATCTCTAAAAAGTTACATAGTATCTCAAATTAATGTGTCATTAGTCTTAGACTTTTTTCCCTTTTTTTTTTTTAAGGAATTCTCATTTTTAAGATACTAAGTCATCAATTCAGAATAAAGTGTCATTATTTTGAAAGAACACATTTTGAGAAAAATTCTAATTTTGAGATACTAATTTATTAATTTGAACTACTTAGTCATTATTTATAGATACTAAGTCATTAATTTTAGATACTAAGTCATTATTTTGAGATACTAAGTCATTAATTTTAGATACTAAGTCATTATTTTCAGATACTAAGTCGTTATTTTCAGATACTAAGTCATTATTTTTGGACACTAAGTCATTTTGAGATACCATGCCATTATTTTCAGATACTAAGTCATTAATTTCAGATACTAAGTCATTAATGCCAGATACTAAGTCATGATTTTGAGATACTAAGTCATTATTTTCAGATACTAAGTCATTAATTTTAGATACTAAGTCATTCATTTTAGATACTAAGTCATTATTTTTGAGATACTAAGTCATTATTTTCAGATACTAAGTCATTTTGAGATACTATGTCATTATTTTCAGACACTAAGTCACTAATTTCAGATACTAAGTCATCAATTTCAGATACTAAGTCATTATTTCCAGACACTAAGTCATTAATTTCAGATACTAAGTCATTTTGAGATACTAAGTCATTAATTTCAGATACTACGTCATTTTGAGATACTAAGTCATTAATTTGAGATACTAAGTCATTAATTTTAGATACTAAGTCATGATTTTGAGATACTAAGTCATTATTTTAAGATACTAAGTCATTAATTTGATACACTAATTTATTATTTTGAGATGTTAAGTAATTATTTTCAGAAAGTTTCTCATTATTTTGAAACACTAACTCATTTTAAGATACTAACTCAATTTTGAGAAAATATTTTTGAGATACTAAGTCACTATTTTATTATTTTGATACTAAGTCATTTACTTGAAATAAGTCATTATTTTGAGAAAGTTTCTGATCATTTTGAAGTACTAAGTCATTTGAGACATTAACTCATTATTTTGACACAAAGTCTCATTACTTTGCCAGACTTGGTCATTATTTGAGTTACTAAGTCGTTATTTCAATGAAAAAATTCATTATCATGACTTGCAGAACCTTTTTCTTTCATCAAATTGGTGTGAATGGGCTTCCATAGATTTCAACTCATTTGACTTATTGTGACAAAAACATTTTGTATCGTACACGCCGGGTCCAAATTGGCATTAAGTTTACCTTTTAAAACCACCATCAAACCACATGTTGGCTACTTTCAGTGTGTAAGAACTATTGAGTCATTCAGTCCATTAATATGAAGTTAACTGTGGAAGTAACAGTTAATTGGGGGGTGAATGTATGTCGGCCTTGATCTCCGTCTCTGTCAGTAGGCACTCATGTCTGTGAGATGTGTTTCCTGTTGGACTGCCTGTTTGTGAATTTACCTGTAGGTGGCACTCTTTTCTTGCTCTATAGCCCAGTTCTCTTTCTTATTCTCTAAGGTAGGATCACATCACACGTCTGTCCTACAAATATTCGCTCAATCATCCGCCCACGAGTCAGAGTTCACCTTTTGTTCAGCTTTGACCTTTTGATCTTGATGTTCGTGTCATTATCACACGACAAGAGTAACAGACATAACAAACATGAATGTATAAGAACTGGGTTTGATGTTTGTCACTAGTTTTCAGGACTTTAAATTAACTGTGCAAACACAAAATAACACTGTACAAGAAAACAGGAATTAATGGCTTGTGAGAGTAAAATCCACCCCCGCACACCTACTGACAAATTCACTAAACAGCAGCCCAGTGTGGAGTTTTAAATGTGGGTCCTGCACCCAGAGAGGCCTCTAGTCTCTATGGAAACCCACCCAAAATGTGATATGTTTCCCACACCCCCCACCCCACTCCCCACCTGATCCCTTCTCCATCCAGCTACACAGAGACTGGCTCAGGAGGCCTGACAACAAGGCAACAACAGCAGGAAAGGCTGAGTACAATTTCCATTACAGCCCTTCTTCCTCCATCTCATCCCTCCATCCTTCTTACTTCATCTTCTGTCTGAGTCTGCTGAGCCGCCAGCTGTGGTCCGTAAACATCTGTCGGGGGTCAAATTTATACCTGCGAAAAGACAAGACAGAGGAGTTGATGCTCATGTGTAAGAGAGGCTGTTTTTAGGTACTGTGGAAGTCCAACAAAGCAAAGTCAACATAAATTTGTGCCCCAGAATAGAGTGAAATTTTTGTTTGCTTGATACTGATTATAGGGATAATAGAGACAACATACACTCCCAAATAATTATTTTCTAGTGTAACCTTGAGAGCCCATCATTCAGTGCATAAATGTTGAGTGTGTCTAGCATACAATTGAGTAGAGCAAGGTTTTCAATAATATTTTAATATGACATTATTATTTGGGTTTAAATGAAGCTATTTCTCTCTCAAGAACATTTTTTATTTTCCCAATAATTAGTTCAAATTGGGGATGTCGGCTTCAGTTAATTTTGCTGTCCAAAGCGTGACACCCACTAACCAGTAACTAACTGGTTAATTTTTATGAAAAGAAAAATAAATAAATAAAAAACAAGCAAATCACGTGAAATATGAAAAGTACTTTCTGAACTGACTCGCTGAACTTTAACGCAGCATTTCAAAGCGCTATACATTTAGAAGTGGTGAGAACACCTTGAGGAAATTTCTTTAACATGTGGCACTTATGTCCACTTGGACTCAACGATGAACTGGTTAATTTTTGGTGGTCATGGGTCAAAGGCCAAGGTCACTGTGACCTTGTCCGTCACATTCTAGTGAATACAGTATCTCAAAAACACCTTACGGAAATTTCTTCAAATTTGGCACAAACGTCCACTTGGACTCCACAATGAACTGGTTAATTTTTGGTGGTCAAAGGCCACCATGACCTTGCATCCATCTCATTTACGTGAACACGATATCTCAAGAGCTCCTTGAGGGGATGTTTCCAAATTTGGCACTGTGAAATTTTGAGTTTAAAATATCAGATTTGGATAAAACAAAAAAAATATTTATGTAAATTTGATTTAAAAAAAAAAACCCATCTGGTAATGGTCATGCTGTAGCTGAGCCGCTTGTTTGTTTTTCACTTATTTCACTTATTTTCAGTCCTATTTTCCTTATTTTTCACTGCTCATCACAAGTGTTTACTGTAAACTGCTGTCACTCAGTAGTAGAAATTCTCCACACAGTTGTATAATGTAGTCAAAAATTAGGAAACGTTTTGGTCTGAACCAACGTAAAACTTGTTTATATTTATTTAAGCATTTTCTGCATTTGAAGAGAAAGCAAGTCCTTCTAAAAAAAATAACAGTTTTCTTATTCTAAAAATATGCATGCACTGTTTTCAGACATGTATTTGTACTTTGTTTTTTTGATGTGCGACCCTTCTTCACTTGATTCATGAGTTAACCATCGCCTTGCAGCAGGAAACAAAACAGAAGAGTGAGGAAATAAAATCTGGGTGAAAATACAACAAAAATCTTTTTTACTTTTCAGTGAAACAATCAAACATAGCAAACAGACCTTGTATCGTACACGCCGGGAGTCCGACACGACTGTCCTGAGCAGGACTGCAGCATCATCAGCCGGTGGTTCATCTTCTCCAGGACTTCCTGGTCGATGGTCTTTGCGATGTTGGTCAGCTGGTAAGGGTCTGCTGTCACGTTGTAGACTTCAACAAACACCTACAGTTGACGCACATCCACAAACAATGCTACCGTCAAACCAAACACCTCAAGGAACAAAAGCACAGACGCATTCGACCACCAGGTGGCGCCACAGTAAAGAATTTAACACAAATAGCAGTTTGAAGTAAAAATGTAATTACAAGATAACATAAACTGAACACAGACAGAAGAAAGACAGACCTCATTATCATCAAACTCACAGTACTGCAGGTTGGCAGAGGGGGCGACTGTGCGCACACACGCGTAAGTGTTGTTGTACGAGTCCTCACACACACAGTCTGGGAAACACTCCTGCAGAAAGAGGACAGATGGTAGACAGAGAATGATGAGGTTGTTTTTTTTTTTGCTTATATCCGCCAACAGATAATAATAAATTTCTATCACGTACCGACACTCCAGGTCCAAGCAGAGGACACGAGGGGTCGGTCAAGTTGCTTCCTTCTCCTTCATACTCCACCAGGATGTCTGTTCTCCAGCTGCTGCTGTTCATCTTCCCCTCCTGGTGATGGAGACACAGGTACACAAATTAGATCTGTCCATGACCATCATATTTTTATAAACTCATTTATTAATGTCACTCATGTTCTAAACTTCAGCACTGCAACATTTAACCTATTCATTTAATTAGATACCAGCGTTCACACAAACATGTAGCCCAAAGCGCTTCACATAACAAAAACCTCAAAACAATTACAATAGAAAACAACAAGCAACAAAGAATAACAACAATAAAACAAAAAATAAATACAAATTAATAAATAAGTCAATAGAATGAAATAATATAAACAACAGTGATAAAATGAATGTAACAAATACGATTAAAACTTGAAAACTGATGCTATAACGTTACTCCAAATTAAAATAAATAACTCCAAATTAAAACACAGATTAAAACGACAGCATGACAACATTACTAATATTTAAAAATTATATTAAGGATTAAGTTCTATGTAAAAAAAACTTTTTTTTTTTGTTTGATAAATAAGTATCTAATATTTATGTGAAAATCAATCCATGGTAATTTCAAATATTTAAACTGGAAGAGACAGATTTTTTTTCCTGCAAACACCAAGGTAAAAATTATTTTAAGTATATGGATATTTGTCTGGTTGTCAAACTCAACCACCATTTTGTTTTCACTTCATAACAAATATTTGAAATTTAGTTTTTTTTATGAATCGAAGCACTGAAAATTCTAAACAGAAAAATGTAAACCACGATTCCAAATTTTTTGGTAAAACGTTTGTAACAAAACGAAAAGGATGAGTCTTAAAACAGTAGTGTTTCGATAATAACATGAATCAATATTATCATGCAACTGCTTAAATCAGACATCACATCAAATGACTTATGATCAGCTTCTCAGCTCACGTTTACTCAAGAACTGATTTTGTTGGGAGAACAAATTTGGGACTGATATCATGTCATATCACAGGAATATGAAGGGTTCTTGTTTATAGACTACTGTACATAATATTAAGCTTTGACAGAAACTGCAGGTTGGCAGCGTCGTCCAACACGTATCAGTCGTTATGACGACATTAGGTCTGTTTAGCTTTAGTCACACATTGGAAAAATAAAAAACCATTAGCTGATTAATCTCACCATGATGGGCAGGACGGACATGCCGTCCATCTGCGTCTTGTTGACGTTGTAGCCGGCGATGTCGAGGATGGTCGGACCGAGGTCGACGTTTGCCACCAGCATCTGATAACAACATGAGTCAGTTCAGTTCAAACAAATTCAACAAAATTCAACACATGAGACAGGTGTGTGTTTGTACCTGGCTGGTCTGGTTGGGCTTGATATTTGGTCCTCTGACCATGAGAGGGACTTTGATATCGAACTCGTAGAGCTGCCTCTTATCCAGAGGAAGAGAGAACTGACCTGAGAGACAAGGAGACATAAAGAAACTAACACTTTGAGAACTTCATCAAGGCTCCACAGTCGTCTAAATGTGTGTCTTTGTGTTCAAACAAGCCCAAAAAGAAATCCTAGAAATGATCATTTGTGTATCAATTCCTCCTCCTGAGTTCTTCCTCTGCACATGAAAACGTGGAGATGTGTGCGCACGTGTGGTTACATACCTGTGTGATAGCCGTTGTCAGAGGTAAAGAAGATGTACGTGTTGTCCAGTTCAACTCTGACCTCCAACCTCTTCACTATTTTCTCCACCAGGTCGTCCACCGACAGCAAAGTTTGCCACCTAGAAGCCAGAGTGAGCAACAAGACACTCGCAGTGAGCCCACGCTGAATAAAAAAATAAAGAAGTACGGACAGAGAAAAAGACTTTAAGAAAGACTAAAAAGGAGGGGGAGTAGAAAGAAGGAGAGGAGAGCGACGGGAAGTAATGGATCTAATGTAAAGAGAAAGCAGAGATGAGGAAGATGACAGAAAGAGGAAGGTGACAAGCAGCAGAGACTGACCGTTTCCTGAAGGCATCATCCAGAAACTGAACAGAGGAGTTGGTCATGGGGGTTTTAGCCTGTCTGATCAGCCAGTGTTTGTCCTGAGGAGACAAAGGGATGCATTTAATCACTTTATTTTATAGTCTTTTGTCCAATCTTCACATGGGGTACTTGAATGAAAGGAGGAAAAGAAGTCGTACCTTCCCGTGTACGTTGAAGTTTGGGTCTCTGGGAGCCTTGGTGGTGTTGAAACTGTTCTGGTACTGAGGGGCTGCGGTCCACGGGGAGTGGGGGGCTGGGATGGACACCATCATGAAGAACGGCTGGTAGTTTGATTTATACTGGAGGAAGTCCAGAGACCTGTTGGCCTGAGAGACAGACAAAGAGAGTGGTACCAAAAACATTACTTCTTGTGATCTAAAAAGTTTATAAAGTAACTTGTTATATTAAAAGTTGCTTGAAAATATTTTCAGATAAGATTTCTTTTATATCAAATATTTGTGACACTCTGTGGAAGTTTTTCTTAAACTTTAACCCCCCCAAAAACAATTTTTTAACACGTTATTTTCTCTGTGATTAAGTGAATGAACGTGTTATTTTGACAGCCCTAAATTTAACATTTTTAGTCAACAGCCCAATCTCGAAACATCAACGAAAGCAAAAATTAATTTGTGTATCCGCCTCGTAATTTGGATCCCTTCTAAAATTTAATAGGTTCTACCTTGGCCTATTGCTGCCCATTGACATCATGCCATTAGTTTTTCTGTTATCCTACTGACAAACAAACCACTAAGTCTTCTTGGCAGAGATAATAATGTAAAATGTAAGGTTTAATATTTCACAGCTGTCTCACCAGGACGTCTGTCAGGTAGTCTTTGTTGTAGTCGGCTCCATGTGTCTCCGGCTTCCCGTTCACTGATAGAGTGTAGTTGTAGTATTTAGAGTTCTTCTCCTGGAAAACACAAACAACTTATATGAAACTTTCTTAGGCCCCGATTACACATGAAGCATTTTGCGGGTTGCAAAACACAAGGTGCACCACGCTGCCTTTTATTTTTTTTTTTTGTATATTATTTAATGCTACTGTGCCTTTTTATTGTTGCCAGGCTACCACCCCATCACGTCCTTACACTAACCTTCCTGTGTAATCAATCTACTGTCCATTTCCCCCCAGTAACTAGTATCTAGTTCCTGACATGTTGAGGGAGAGGGTGCTGTCTGTAGCTGTGGTTGAGGGTGAGAGGCTGTCAGCAGATAAACAGAGATCTGTGTGGGTACATGAGACCCTAAAAAAGAGGGTGGATCACGGGAAGCACCACCAGTTGGTCCAGGAGATTCTCCTCCATGATGGCTGTTTCCAGGCATATTTTAGGATGACTCAGGGGCAATTTGACAACCTACTGTCTATCGCTAGCTAGTAAGCAACCGCTACTGCTACCACCAGTTTCTCCTCAATAGAGTGTGCCAGTAAACCCAGAACTCCGTTAGCGCTTTTAGCACTTCCAGTTCTCTCGTCTAAAAGTTAATACGTTTTTTGAATGGGATTTTGGTAAAATGCCTCAAATGAGGTCTGTGGTTAACAAAAGCTTAAGCGAGTTTCAGGTTTTGTTCTACGACATAAAACACGTCAGTAAATAGTGTGCCTGGGCTGACGTCAAAACCCGGAAGTTTAGCATCACGCTGGTTCCCGGAAGAGAAAGAGAAAGTGAATGTGATTTTTGCATTGCGTTTTGGATTATGTCAGAAAATAAGCTCTGTGGCTAACACAAGTTTATGATACTTACAGGTTTTGTTCAGCGAGATAATCTTCACATATGAACACCTTTCATACCGCATTTGAAGCTTAAATGCGATCGCCAGAAATAAAAAGCTAACGTTAGGCTTTAACGGACTACATGACTACTCCACGGTCGCATGACTCTTGACGTCACCGTCACTAAGCTTTCAACTGATTTCGGCCGCTTTGTTTTAAAAACATTGTATAATGGGGAAATCGGACTGTTTAAGCTAAATAAGAAGCTGTAATGGTGGACTGCCAGCACTCTCGCCTGTTCGGGGGTGATGACGTTTAATGTCCCCGACGGGGTTTGTAGTCGTATTGAGCAACTTGTTAGCAACCGCCTTTTTTACGACACGTAAAAGCTTCAAAATTCACAAGTAGGGTATTTACTGACGTGTTTTATGTCGTAGAACAAAACCTGAAACTCGCTTAAGCTTTTGTTAACCACAGACCTCATTTGAGGCATTTTACCAAAATCCCATTCAAAAAACGTATTGACTTTTAGACGAGAGAACCGGAAGTGCTAAAAGCGCTAACGGAGTTCCGGGTTTACTGGCTCTATACCTACTGGCTCTATACCCTACTTGTGAATTTTGAAGCTTTTACGTGTCGTAAAAAGGCGGTTGCTAACAAGTTGTTCAATACGACTACAAACCCTGTCGGGGACATTAAACGTCATCACCCCCGAACAGGCGAGAGTGCTGGCAGTCCACCATTACAGCTTCTTATTTAGCTTAAACAGTCCGATTTCCCCATTATACAATGTTTTTAAAATAAAGCGGCCGAAATCAGTTGAAAGCTTAGTGACAGTGAAGTCAAGAGTCATGCGACCGTGGAGTAGTCATGTAGTCCGTTAAAGCCTAACGTTAGCTTTTTACTTCTGGCGATCGCATTTAAATTTCAAATGCGGTATGAAAGGTGATCATATGTGAAGATTATCTCGCTGAACAAAACCTGTAAGTATCATAAACTTGTGTTAGCCACAGAGCTTATTTTCTGACATAATCCAAAACGCAATGCAAAAATCACATTCACTTTCTCTTCCGGGAACCAGCGCGATGCTAAACTTCCGGGTTTTGACGTCAGCCCTGGCACACTCTATTTTTTACCAGCTGTAAACTTGTTGTCATGACTACCACAGAAGGCCTGCCTCTCAAGTCATCCAATTGGACAGTGTAAAAAGATGACATGGGGCGTTTCTCCACTCTGAGTTAAATTTTTTCAACTCGAGGAGTTCAGAGCACTCCGGCAAAAATGCCAGGCGCCTAGAACGCAGAAACGTGAGGCATGTCACAACACAAAAACAGCGAGCAAAAAGCTTCATTCTCATGAAAAAAAACGCCTCTAGCTGCTAAAACGCTTTCTGTATTATCAGGGCCTTCAGTCGTACAGACCACGATAAATTAGGATCATTTTTAACCTTATTAGTGAGACTATGTGCAGAAATCACTGGACTGAGTGAGTGTGCTTATAAAGTCTAACATAGATCACAAAAAGCCAATAATATGGTTGAATCAGAGGCAAACGGACAGATAATAGATGCAGAATAAGAACACCTAAAGACTTTAGGCGGTCAGCACTTACAGGCTTGCACCTCGCTATCTGTAGGCTCTTGTGATCTGTACATTTTCTAGAGCAAGTTAGCAGATTACATTTCAGATTCATCATGGTCACATGCACCGAAACGGGATCCGAGACCCTAAACTTCATGGTAGCTGTTTGACACGGTGTCCAACCCCTCAGTCAGAGACACTAAAGCTGAGAGCAGCAGTGGTGGAGCAAGTATTGACATCTTTTATTAAATAACAGTAGTGACACTACAGTGTAGAAGTGCTGCTACAAGCCAAAGTCTTGCATTCAGAATGTTACTTGAATTGAAATACTAAACGCAAATGTCCTCATAATGCAGAATGTCCCCGTAATGTTGTAGATGGTAAAGATGGAGCTCATTCTAACCTGAGGTAGGGGTAGACAGTAAGAAGCTGCATGTTTTGCCGTAGCAGCACGGGATTCTGTCTCATATAAACTTCACGACGCTGTGTTGTGATAAGCCGTCAGGTCACGAGACCCGCTCTTCTCACGTATCTGTGTTTGTTCAGTAACGGCGAAGATAAACTGGGCTGCAGTGCAGTCGTATTACATCCGTGACCTCTGTTCCGTGACTTCTGTGAACCAGTTAGAGATTTAAAAAAAACCTAATTTTAACCTATTTATCAGTCTGGCTCCGTCTGCAGAGAGCGTCCAGTCACATGACCACCTGAAGTGAACTCAGATTGCCGCTCTGATGCAGCGGCAGGAAAAAATAAACTTCCCATAGAGATGTTGGTGAGCTGAAACCTCCTCTGGAAACTTTTGTGTTTTATGAAATGATCATTTTCATCCCAGACTTTATTATTAGGGTGACAAAAAACCCTCGGACACAACCTGTAGTCCATCACGGGACACTAAAACTGTCCACTGGTGCTCAGGGTGATATTTAGAAGAGGAAAGGTTAAAGGTCCCTCTCTAATTTAATTCTACATTAACCTTTTGAAACCTGGATTGACATCAGTTTTCTTGTGCTGCATTCAGACGCCTTTCACAAGCATTTAAACCTTGGAAATCGGAGCAAATCGGTTTGATTTTTTTTCGGGGGGGGGGGACGACGACGACGACGACTAAAAATCAATTATTAAAAATAGAGAGACAGAAAATTGTTTATAAAAAATAGGTAAAAAAAAAAAAAATGCCCAGAAAACCGGGATAAATGGTTACAAAAAACTATATTTCTGATTATTATAATTATTTAGTCAAACTTATTTTATGGAATACATATATGTATGTATTTTTCAATTTTTAGCCCCTTTTTCAGGTCATTTCCTTTTTTTAATGTTTTTTTTTTTTCCACTTTTCTTTTCTTGCTAATTTTCCCGGTAATAACTTTTTACTATTTTTTTTGTGCTAATTTTGGGTCATTTCTAGTTAATCTGATCATGTTTTTGAAAGAAATCAAGCCAATTTTCTCAGGTGTCAAATGGATAAAGACCAATAAAAGTAAATATCTGGACGTAGTTTGTGCTTTATTGCCTCATCTCCTTGTAAACAATGTAGAAAGTGACAAAGCTTCATGTTATTGTGACTTGTTTCGGAGCGAGTTCGTAAAACAAGCTGAGCTGGAACTGAATCAGGATGAGGTTCAGGATTTTACTGACAGGACCAGTTTAAAGGCTTAAGAGCTTCATTCTGTCCAAAACTGGACCAAAGAAGTCAGACAGGAAGTAGCCTCGGAGTAAATATGTGGCTGAAAGGTTGAAAACGTAAAGAAGAAAAGTTCTAGTCTTACCAGTCCGACCCAGTAGTTCCAGCCTGGAGGAACATGCTCCACTCCACCAGCCTCTGAGTGCCCATACTGAAACACACACAGCAGAGTGTGTATTTAATGACACATACACACAAGCTAAGTGCCATTGAGACATAGTTTACGATTAGTTTTTACAGTGTTACAGCAGTACAAGAAAAACAAGACAGATAAATCACTCAAACTTTATTTGTGTAGCACCTTTCACGCAGGTTCGTGCAGCACACAGGACATAAAAACGAGAAAAAAGAACAAACACACAAGACAATAGAAATGATGACAATGCCACAGAACAGATAACAGTAACAGGAATATTGGTAAAACTGTGAAATAAAAACTAGTTAAAAGATAGGTTAATAGTTTATACTGTATCATGACTACAATATCATGATAATATCGTATTGTGGATTCCCCTAAGTTCCTTACGGCTGAAACCATCAGACGTACTTACAGACATAAAACATTGTGCGCCACTGTGTCGTGTTTATGTCTTAAGCTTGGCTACTTCTTGAGTTTTGGTGAGGATGGTTGAACGTGAGCAACCGCAGATGGATACAATGGACACTATGTTTTAAAAGTAGCAATGTAGTCATACAGTGATAAAAATAAATCAAGATGCAACATCATTTTAATCCACTTATCCGGGGCTGGGTCACAGGGGCAGCAAGCCAAGCAAAGCACCCCAGACGTCCCTCTCCTCAGCAACACTTTCCAGCTCCTCCTGGGGGACCCCAAGGTGTTCCCAGGCCAGATGAGATATGTAATCCCTCCAGTGTGTTCTGGGTCTGCCCCGGGGCCTCCTACCAGTGGGACGTGCCCAGAACACCTCCAGCAGGAGGCGCCCAGGAAGCATCCTGATGAGATGCCCAAACCACCTCAACTGACCCCTTTCGACGTGAAGGAGCAGCAGCTCTACTCCGAGCTCCGAATGTCTCTACTCCGAACTCCGAATGTCCAGGCTCCTCACCCTATCTCTAAGGCTGAGCCCAGACACCTGACGGAGGAATCGGCCGCTTGTATCCACAATGTCATTCTTTCTGTCACTACCCAGACGTAGATGGACCAGTAAATCAAAACCTTCGCCTTCTGGGTCAGCTCCCTCTTCACCACGACTGTCTGATGCAGTGCCCACATCACTGCAGAAGCCGCACCAAACCACCAATCCATCTCTACCCTGACTCATGAACAAGACCCTGAGATATTTGAACTCTCTCACTTGAGGAAGTAACTTTCCCCCAAACCTGAGGGGGAAATCCACCGGTTTCCGGCAGAGAACCATGGCCTCGGATTTCGAAGTGCTGACTCTCATCCCGATCGCCTCACACTCAGCTGCAAACCGCCCCAGATGCAACAATAATAATCTGTAATCGAATCGTAGACCTATGAATCAGAATCAAAATGAATCGTGAGGTGTCTAGAGATCCCTACCCCTGACAAACATTGCCATGCTGCTCACCACTCGTCCACAGTGAAGGACATGTGAGGTGACCTGTGATGAGGGGTCACAAGTTGACTTTAAAAGTGAAAAGAGTTAGGAAACCCTGAGACACAGGAAGAGAGGAGGGGAAGTGGGTTAACAAAGTTAAGTGTCATTTGCTGCTGTTTAGGCGAAGTGGACGTCTCGGTTCCCCATCTGACCATCTGTTTATCACAAGGGTAGATGCAACTTTGACAGTGGGACTTTATCACGACATTAAACCGTGTGACAGAAGATCCTGTGACTGTGTAACTGTTTCCACCTGATATGACCCACAATCAAAGGTGTGTAGACGGCTCTTTGAATACATCTTATTTTAGTTTGATGATTAATTGACAGCTATTCCACAGGGGCAGCAGCTGCTCCTTCAGTTCCCATATTCTCTGACGTCAGACTAAAAGCCTCTGTGCACGCTGATAAACAGATTTAAGGGTGGGTTCATGAACAACAGGAAGTCGAGCTCTGATGTGCAATTAGTTTATGTAAACATAACTAAATTAGTAAAGGAAATAAGTTTTCACTTCCTCATTCTTCAGATGAAGCACACTTAAAACACTCAAGAGAGCAGAGAAGGAGGCCTTGGTGCTTAAAGGGACAGTTCACCCCAAAATTAAAAAGACACGTTTAAAAGACCGACAAATCAAAATGGTGCTGTTAAATCCCAAGTCTCCACCCACCTGCATCACTGTCACACCTGATTACACCACTCCCCCAAGATTACAAAACTCCACCCTTCAGGCCTGTGACTCTCCATTTCCCTCCAAACATGCCAGGCAGAACAAAGACAGGACTGATGTGAGTGCATGTGGACTTTTCACCTTTATAATGTTCAGTAGAAAGAAAATAGTCCCGACAAGAAACTGCTCACAACAAGGTCTGTGGATTATCTTGAGTAACCAGGTCATGATTTCTGGAAAGAGACACTGATGTTGAGTTTTTCAAATGTATTTTTGGCACTTTGAGCACCACAAGTGACATCTAGTTCCATCATATTGTAGAGAAGGCAGACATCTCTACAGCTGATATCTCCAACACTCTGCAACTCACACCAAAACTATCTAGACTGATAAACAGCACTACAGGTAAGAAGAAAAATATGTAGATTGATTTTGGGGTGAACTGTCCCTTTAATACCCAATGTGAATCCATGTATTATGAGGTGTACCCATCATTTTAATGTAGTTTTATCATCTGTTACCTGGTTGAGATATTTCCCAGCGAAGAAGGTCTGATAGCCGGCGTACGTCTTCAGCAGTGCGGGGAAGGTGTGGGCCTCCTCGCTCTTCTGCCAAGCTTTGCTGCTGCAGTTTCCCTCTAACGTGTTGTTGATGACGTGGTGGTTGTGGGGGTATTTCCCCGTCAGGATGCTGGCTCGGCTGGGGCAGCACAGCGGGCTGGCCACAAACTGAGAGGAGGGGAGGGTAAACAGCTGTTTTAATATCTCCAATATATAAATATCAGCCATTAAAATGATCTCTGATGAAACATGTTGTGGCAACAGTGATGTTGATGATACTCACTGCGTTTGTGAATGATATCCCTGCATCACCGATGAGTTTTTTCGTCTTGGTGAGTGGGCTCTGGAAGGAAAACAATCAGTGTGATAAGACAAATTAATTAACTGAATAATTTATTGGCTTCTTTTGCACTCAGATGTTCTCAAATCAGGCAACAAGCTCCTTTTTTTCTTACAGTCGTCATCAGATCAGGATGTAGTGATGAGGCTGCAGCTCTGTGCAAATGGCTACATGACTAAGCTTGTTCTCTATGAAGACATAACTAACATGGACTGTAACGCTCTGTCTCTATTCTTACATATTTGGCATACAGATAATCAAATGACATATGTAATGTAGATAAAATATTCTACACTGCTCATTAACTAGGGGTGTGCACGATTAAATCGACTAGTTGATCAAACGTTGCTTTCCTCACTAGTCGGCCTCAGAGATACTTGTCAGTTAAACTGAGTGTTTGTGTTTGTTTGGGTGCGTTTTTTGAATTGAAATAAGTTGGGATGTTAAATACACAGTCAAAAATTTATATTTTATTTAGTGATTTATCATGTTTTGTAGGATAACGTGCAATGTTCATGATGCACGGAGCAAAGTGCGACACATTTCAGTGGCATCTAAGACACAATTTGGTTATTAAAAAAAGGGGGTTAACTATTTCAAATAGTTTGCATCATATATGCAATATTTTTTCAGAAAATGTTCAACCTTACACATTAAACTGCTCAATTTTGACTGCTTTCTGAGTGTTTTCTAACATTTATACTAGTCGACTGGTTAAACATCAGGGAATCAGTCATTAGGAACATCATTATTAACAACCTTGGAGCTTCTTTAATAGATTCATGTTCAAAGTTCAAATAAACACAAGAAGTTTGTGCTAATTCTGTGTCAACTATGATTTTTACAGCAGACATATATTGGTTGTAAATATCGGCTATCGGTATCTCTGTTTCATGATAATCAGTATTGGCATCGGCTCTGAAAAAAACATATAGGTCGATCCCCACACACATATTGACACTGGGGCCTCCAGAGTTCCTCTCAGCACATGGGACAATCTCTCGCCTAGTTTTAGGGTGGCAGCAGTTTTAACCACAAGCACCAGGATCACATATCACGCCATTAAATTACCAGATTTTTTCAATGGGATCTGGTTACATGTCTGTGGCTGAGGCTTGTTAGAAGGAGGGAGGGTGGGAGCAGATTGGAGCAAGTGATAAAGCTGCTGACTCTGTGACATGCCTAAATGATGCGTCCATCCAGGAGGAATGTGAGCACTCAGCTTCATCACACTGGACTACAACTAAATGTCAAGTTTAATTAAATTGCACATTTACCCACTGACATGATGAGTTAAAACTGAGCTGCAAACACAAAGTCACGACTCTCTGGTAAACACCTATAAAAGCACAAAGACATTATAAATCCACCCACCAGACCCCCGATAGCGATGTCCAAGTCGTCGGTGAGGATCAGAACAATGTTGGGTCTCCGGGATGATTTGGCAACCACCCCGTTGCTCAGGTTGCTCCACAAAGTGACGCAGATAAGGAGACAGTTTAATAAGAGCAGCGGACACGAGCGCTTTAAAGCCATTTTCATAAATTAGTGATAAACTACTGCCGCTGTCCGTCTCTGTCCTCAGCTCCGTGTCCTACAAGAGCGTGAAATGTTGTTAGCGAGTCCTCTCCGGAGACGAGACAAGACTCGGCCCTGTTTCTGTTTGACACAACACTTCCTTGTTTCCCGGTCATGTGCTGCTCGGCTACGGAAGCCCGAGTCAGCTGATCTGAAGAGGCGAAGCCCCTCCAGCATGACTAAGGACTAGGAATAACTGTCATTCTTCTGGCTTTTTTCTCCTTGCTGTTCCTTTTATGTTTTATTGCTGCGTTATTATCCCGTTTCTTATTAAATAAATAAATAATAAAGTCACAGCGAAGAGAGACTGGTTATTTGCAGTGGTGGAAGACATACTCATTTCCTAAATAAACATAGCAATACCACAGTGTAGAAATAGTGTGCTACAGGTAAAAGTCCTGCATGTAAGAATAAAATTATCAGCATCAAAATACACTCACTGGCCACTTGGGTACACCTTGCTAGTACTGGGTTCAAAACTGCCTTAATTCTTGGTGTCATAGATTCAACAAGATGCTGGAAACATTCCTCAGAGATTTTGGTCCATATTGGCACACATACTATCCGGGTGCAAAACAGCTCTAACCCAAGGACAGTTCACAAGTAGGTGGCGCCACGATAAAGTTCTTCTATCCCTCGCTGACACACTAGAGCGGGAGAGACGCAAGGAGAGGCCGGTCTGCACAACCTCAAAGAGGACAATCTCCTTCATCAAGGAGGGAGCCAAGCCCTTCTCAACCAAGAGAGCAAAATCCAATATGCTGCAGGCCGCCTGTTCCTGGGAGATGGCGGTTGACGTGGGAAGAAGGCTGCAGTTCCCGGAGGTGGTGCACACAACCCTCCAGCCAGACATCGTGCTGTGGTCAACCAAATACCAGAAGATAGCCTTTTTTAGATATGAGTTGTGCAAATTTGCAGGAAAGCCCAATCAGTCTTTTTTCAGCATTGGCAGTATAAAAATCAGGGAGTGCAGCAAAATGCCGCCTACCTACTTTTGTTTATACAGAATGCGCCTTTTTCAGGGCAATGGGGGCGTGAGCAAGTAACAAAACATGTAGCTCAGCGTGTGACGTACACAGTGACGTGGGAGGGAAGCCGCGGCTGGTCAGTCCTTCAGCAATTTTCTTGTGAGTTGGTCCGTTCTTCACCGTCCCCGTCATCTGACGGTTAATGGCGTCTTCATTTGCGAGGACAAGGAGGGCGCGCAATTCCTTGTCTCCCCAGTTGCTCATCTTTACAGTGTCTGTCAGGTTTGCGTTTCCCTCTTGCTACTAGCTGCTCGCTAATTCCTGCTATCAGCTGTTTCCTGTTTATCCACCGCCAGTGGCTTGCACGTGTGGCGTCATCAACAGCTCCTCCCACAAGTCATCAACAGCTCCTCCCGTTGCAGAAGGCCGCCTCGGTCTGTTTAAACTAAAAGGGTTCCAATATGTCTACCCTACGAGGCGGAAAATTGGGCACCTTGGATCAACTCGTCAATCCGGCTCTGTGTCTCTAAATGCTCGCAGCTGGCTGGCAAAACGGCCCAACATTCGCCGAAAATCTGGCAGTGTAAAAGGGGCTGATAATTCTGGTCGAGCTAACAGTGCCATGGGAGGAAGGCTGTGAAGTGGCCCACCAGAGGAAGGCCTTGAAGTACCAGTCCTTAGTCCAGGATTTTAAGGACAAGGGTTGGCAGGCGTGGCTCTTCCCAGTGGAGATCGGATGCAGAGGTTTCTGGTTTCCCAGAAGTCAGCATGGCTATTANAGAGTTGCTGCTTTTTTTTTTTTTTTTTTTTTTTCACTGCATGTGTGTAACGTTGTTGCTGCTCTGTAACTGTCTGTTTGTATTGTCAGCTCTGGGCCTTGATGAAAGGAGCAAAAAACAAGCTGCTCGCAAGATGGGGGAGGAGGCTGAACGAGCCTCCTGTTGGTAGTGGAGTAAGAGAGAGGAGGAAAGCTGGAGGCCAGGAGCAGATAGGCAGTGATTTGGCCAATCAATGACGGCCCTCCAACTAGAGTGTGTTGTGGTTGAGGGTCCAAACACACAGTGACAGCTGGGTACCACCTGGTGGTATCTGCTCCTGGCCAAAAGCTACAGTTACCTTAGATAGGAACACAATGCACCTACAAGTGTATGTCACAAAACATGATGACATCACACAGTTGCTGCAGATTTGTCGGTTGCACATCCATGATGTGAATCTCCCGTTCCAGCACATCCCAAAGGTGCTCTATTGGACTGAGATCTGGTGACTGTGGAGGCCATTGGAGTACAGTGAACTCATTGTCATGTTTGAGATGATGTGAGCTTTGTGACATGGTGCGTTATCCTGCTGGAAGTAGCCATCAGAAGATGGGGACACTGTGGTCATAAAGGGATGGACACGCTCAGCAACAATACTCAGGTAGGCTGTGGTGTTTAAACCATGCTCAGTTGATACTAAGAAAATCTCCCCCACACCATTACACCACCAGCAGCAGCCTGAACCGTTGATACAAGGCAGGATGGATCCATGACGCCAAATTCTGACCCTACCATCTGAATGTGGCAGCAGAAATCCAGACTCATCAGACCAGGCAATGTTTTTCCAATCTTCTATTGTCCAGTTTTGGTGAGCCTGTGTGAATTGTAGCCTCAGTTTCCTGTTGTTAGCTGACAGGAGTGGCACCTGGTGTGGTCTTCTGCTGCTGTAGCCCATCTGCTTCAAGGTTGGACAAGGTGTTGTTGCTTCAGAGATGGTCTTCTGCACACCTTGGTTGGAACCAGTGCTTATTTGACTTCCTGTTGCCTTTCTATCATCTTGAACCAGTCTGGCCATTCTCCTCTGACCTCTGGCATCAACAAGGCATTTTGGCTCACTGGATATTTTCTCTTTTTGGGACCATCCTCTGTAAACCCTAGAGATGGTTGTGCTGAAAATCCCAGTAAATACTCAGACCAGCCCGTCTGGCACCAACAACCATGCCACGTTCAAAGTCACTTAAATCACCTTTCTTCATCATTCTGATTCTTCGTTTGAACTTCAGCAGGTCGTCTTGACCATGTCTACATGACTAAATGAATTTCGTAGCTGGCACGTGATGGCTGAGCTATTTGTGGTAATCACTTCATCAAGGTCATCAGGTAGGCACCCTGCTTCATTGGTGTTTTCGATGATAGACCCATGACACCTCCAGAGGGCTCCACTACAACACCTGGTGTCCCAGGTGTGCCCCCCTCCACTTTTACCCCACATGTTGGACATGTTGCAGACCAGTTGGGGTTCTTTATCTTCTTCCAAAGCCAATTGCTCTTGGTTGATGGTGTCGCTACAAATCCTCTACACTCAACATCTACAGCCCACCAAAGCCTATGAGAAGGCACCACTTAGTTTCAGTGATATAGCCATTCAAAATTTTCAAACTCAATACCAAGGAAAGCCACCAGGGGGACCAAATTGTGCACAGAGGTGCACCAGGAAGAACTAGACACACCCTGCACGTTTTAAGACAAGGCACCATTTACTTTCTGAGATATTGCCATTTTTATTGATTTCAAAAAGTAGTTATCATCCCCTAACCCTTACACCCCTCACTACACATACCATTGTGCAAATTTTTTACTTCCTGCAATTATAGTCCAGTCAATCATATTTCCAAATGTATTTTTTTTTCTCCAAAAAAATGCCCTCCAATGAATGATTACAGTAAAGTAAAATCAAAAACTGACTGAAGAAATTACTGCAAGGTATGAAATCCTGATCTAACCCCTGCTGTCAGATGGGCCGCACCATTTCACAATACCTGCGGGGGTGGGAGTGTCAGATGGCATGTTGAAATGTGTTTTAATGATAAAAAAAGCATGAATTTATCATGTAAATACTTATAACTTTTGTCGTTGATACAAGTCAGTAAGTAAACTGTACATGATCCAATTTAAAGGTCAATCATAGACCTTTTCAAGGGCCTTCCCTTGGCCTTGGGCTGGGGTCATCTGTAGCCTTTGACCCCCTCTGAGGGCGGGCCTGACCAAGTGCTGAAGCTGTGATGAAGACATTTATACATCAGTACATGTACTTTGTTACATTCAACCACTGAAATGAATTATAATCCAACATTATAAATTATTCAGGGATGGGCAACTCTGCATAATAAGTAATTGAGTCATAATGAGTGCTAGCTTTTGATGCTTTAATTATAATATAATGCTAATACTTATGCGGCCTATTAACGTTCATACTCAAATAGACATGATACACTTACATACAACTGTGCATAAATTTAAAATGTAATAAAAATAACAATATACAACAGAAGAACCCCAAAAACTTCAGCTAGATATCTCTTAGAGTTGCTGCTTTTTTTTTTTTTTTTTTTTTGCACTGCATGTGTGTAACGTTGTTGCTGCTCTGTAACTGTCTGTTTGTATTGTCAGCTCTGGTCTGTGGGAGCAAATCATGGAGTGGATGTTATATATGTGTCCTGCTCTGAAGAGATGGAGTTGCAGAGGGGTGCAGTATGTGGAAATGATCCTGAACTGATCACACTAGCTCCCTGTGCCTTTAAGAATTCATCTCATAATTATTTTACTTGTTTGTAAAGCTTTAAATGACCTCATGCCTCCACACATCAAAGATTTTCTATCATTTTATGCTCCAGCAAGATCACCACGGTCCTCCACTGCTTTACTTATAAAATGTTCCTCATGTGTCCCATGAAAGTAAATTAAAAATCTATATTTTAAATCTGGCCTTTTAATGTGGAGTAACATTACAGTCTTGATTTTTAGGATTTAACAATTTTTTTAAACCTTTTTTATCTCTCAATTTTATTTATTCATTTACTCTGTTTTTATTCTGTGAAGTTTTAATCATCTTGCGTCAGTTGGATTTTTAATATTTTATTGTCTTGTGTCTGTGTCACTCCAGTTTTGCCATGTGAAGGAATTTGGGCTGCATGTTTGTATGAAAGGTGCTATATAAATAAAGTTGAGAGCCCTTTTTTGTACCCTCTTCGGCAGTGCAGCCTGGCTTTTATTGCACTCTACCCTTACTTTTGTACTTTACTTTTACATAAGATATTGAATGCAGGACTTTTACTTGTAGCAGAGTATACCTACACTGTGGTATTTTTAATAAAAAGA